AAACACTCTTAACTGCTCAGCCATCTCTTCAGCCTGTGGATTCATTCATCTATTTTGTTATCTATTCATTGACTGATTCATTCATAAGAATTATTCATTTTATGTATGTGAATATTTTGCCTGCATGTGTGTACACCACATGTTTTCATGGTCCCTCACAGATCAGAAGTATGCCTTGAATTCATGTAGCTGGGGTTGTACAAGAGTGTGTGATGTCATATGGGTCCTGCGAATTGAACTTTAGGTTCTCTGGATCAGGAACCAGTGCCCATATCCACTGAGTAATCTCTCTACTTTTTGATGTATAGATTAATGATTGACAATGAATAGACACAAATAAATCAATAACTGTGGCCGCAGATGGAAATGAATCAGTGCCTGTCCTGATATAATAAATCAAGAAGAAAGAATTAGTTTATTAATAATATTGAAATTAACCTATTAAGAAAGTTTGTTGCCAGTTCATAACATAAATACAGAACATAGAGTTCATAAAGTAATCTTTCCTGCAACTGTTGTTTATATGAAAATTTGCAAGTTATCGAAAATTAACAAATCTCCATACCTCTTTACTGTCATCTATACACTCTCAAACTGTCATTCTGGTTTCTGATACTGATTTACTTTTGACTAATTCTTTTAGTGACTAACAATAATGCATGGTATTTCCTTATTTAATTATTTATTGTTTTTAACTTCACCTAATTTTGAGTTAACATAATCATAATGAACTTCTGGGATATTACATTTGTAAGATCTGTTCCTTCTTAGTCTGTCATTGTCTTTAATATTCTGGTATAGTAGTCAAGCCCTCAATTTATTTCCACATTGTATTATAAATGATAACAATTGTGACATTTTTTTCTAACTTGCACTGCTAACAGGCTGTACATACTGAGAATGCTTTTGTTTTGAACATCTTTGCTTGCATTTTGCCATATGCATGCTTATTTTATACTTGACACCTAGGTTATATTTTTTCTCTGCTTATGAAGACATTTTATGTGAATTTTTAGGAAAAACAACTATTTTACAGTGTTAGCAATACTATTACTTTCCATCTCTCTTTAACCATTTGTAAAGTACATAGTAATATTGCTTATATTTCTTTTTTCAGGTCCTGGACAAGAAAAGTCAATAATTTTATGTATTGCTTAATTTATTTTTTGAAAATTTCTTGCATGAGTACTGTATTTAAATTGTTTTATCTCTCCTTCTCCATACCCAACACATTCCAAATGGCCCCTGATTCTACTTCAGATTCATGACCTCTTCAAATTCTTGACCTAGGGAAACAATTGCAAATAAGTTACTTGATTCTGAGCAATAGTCCAGTGTTTAATTTGTGTAAGGAGAGTTATATATAATTCCTCAAAACCAAAGTTAGCTAAGGAATGCAACAATGTATTTTCAATAAGAAAGGCTCTGGGTGAGTTCTTCTGTGAAATTCTGATAGAACTATGTAGAGAATCTACGTAAGATGATCCTGCGGAATGATCCCTACTCTTATTGTACCTGGGCAGCACTAATCAGAATTAAGATAAAAAATAAAAACATACAAAAAAATAAATCATGAATTTTGGAGGGTGATGTGATGAAAGGTTGCTAGGAACACTTGTAAAGAATGGGGAGTTGATATTATCAAAACACATTGTATGCATGGACAAAACTTTCAAAGAGTAAAGATAAATAAAATAATAAGAAATCAAAGATCTGTGAAAGAAAAATGACTGTGAATGTCTTTATGCTATGAGACAACAAGGGTTATGAACAGCAGTTTCTTCCAGTTTCAACTATTTTCATGTGTAATAAAACTCTGACAGTAAACAAGCAAACATGGGGAAAATATTAACAGTTGTTCCTCTGGGCTAGTCATTTATCTAGTTGCTTGCATTTCCAACACAGACATTTATTACTGTTTTTATTGAAAATGGCAGGTTGAACATAGAATAATATTGCTACTCTCTATGTCTTATAGTCATGTAACCAAGAAGTAGTACATAGATGACAAGACACTGTCAGGGGGAAAGAGACACATTTATGTTTTACTCAGAACTTAAAAGAGATAAGAAATTCCTCCCTTTGAATATTTTTTCACATTCTTAGAAATGTTAAAAGCTTCATAAGAGGCATATTTAAAAAATAATATGACATAGCTGATTTGATATAAGTGATTTATATATTATATTGAATTTTTGAGATGATGTCCAAATTGTTTATATAACTAACATTTAAGAGATCCAAATGCAGAACAGAACTTGATGATAATACCCAATATTCACTGTTCACTACTGCAAAAAATAATGACACATAAATAAGTGGGAATTGTACTCAAATAATATTACTAAAATATCAGTGACAATAAAAGTGTGATACTTTAAAATAAATACATAAATGAAATATATGCTTAAATATTTTTGCATTATTTTCAAAAGCACATATAATTTACAGAAATATATGTAAATGTGTCTCTTGTTCATCTTATTTACAAAAACTCTTCAATTGCATCACTAGTTTCTTTGTTGTTTTTGTTTTTCTGGGTGTTATTCTTTTCTGCTATGTGATATTTAACAAAGATTTTTCCCCTTAACCAACAATTCATCATTTGTGTACTACAGGTAATTCTTATATTATTATCACATGTATACTCAGGTTCCAAGACAAACACAATCTGAAATTATTAATATATAAGTGTCTTAATCAGGATTCCTATTGCTGAGAAGAGACATCATAACCACAGTAACTCTTATAAAGGAAAACTTTTAATTATGCACTTATGGTTTCAGATGTTTGCTCCATTGTCATCATGGCTTTCTCAGAGTTCTGTGATTAAGATCTCCTGGATAGCATTTAAACCCCAGGAAAGACTTAGACTAGAATTACTAAATTCTTGAGTGGTCAAGCTAGAATAAGGAGAGCATGTTTGAAGTACAGTCTAGCTGACCACAAGAAAGGGTTGGACATGGTGGCATACAGGCAGACAAGGTGTTAGAGAAGTAGCTGAGAATTCTACATCGTGAACAGGAAATGAACTGAGATATTGCATGTGGCTTAAGCATATACGAGACCTCAAGCCCACCCTATAGTGATGTCTTCCACTAAGGCCATACATATTCAAACAAAGTAACAGTTCTACTCTCTTTTGTTTTATGAGAACAAATTACCCTAAAACTGTCACAAAACCATATTGTATTTGTTCAAATGTAACTGTATTAACAACAAAATAATGCTATACTGAAGGGCATTGTGTCGGTCTTAGGAGACATAGTTGTGTGTTCATGAACATGTGTACATTGAAAAATGTATAAATACAACCTGCTCAGTCAATATAATGGTAGTGACATGCACAAAATCTCAGGGTTAATAACTTGGTATTGGATAACCTGTGGTCTTTTACTATTTTTCCTGTTGTCAGTATTCCTTACATGCCTGCAGTTCAATGTCTAGTCTTGACCCACTTTTAATAGGTCTTCCTTCCATGTTAGCATATGTATATATGAATGCCATCTATGCTAAGCTTTGTTAGGTATTCATATTAATAAGTATACATGGGTGTAGTTTATCTGAAATTTCTAGGAGAAAAATATCCCGCAACAAATATCTTGTTCCTCTTGTATTTGAAATCTGTTCATCTTTTCTTCTTCTATGCAATCTGAGACTTAGGAAAAGGAGTTTTGAAATATGAGTTGAGACTTTCCATCACAGGTTTTTCTTGTTCTCTGAATTTTTATGGGCTGTTTTATGTATTGGTAACTATTTATTGCAAGGTGACTTAAATGTGAAACCTACATTTTCTGTGGCTATAAAGAAAAACATTTAGAATGTAGTTAGAAATTATACTACTTTGGAAAAGTGACAGTTGTAGGTCATTCTACAACCTTTTTTATCTCATTTTGTAGGCCCAGGTAGTTTTCAGTGGAAAGGATGATATATTATTAAGTGCAATTAGACTGCTGTTGGATATGACCAAGGATTGTGTCCTTTAGTATATAACATCATGATGCATCATAGTTTTAGTTCATAGACATCATAGCTAGGGAGGAATATTGACTGATCAATTTCCTTGGATGCTTGCATGGATCCCTCTACTATGAATACAAGTTGTCAAGTAGGTCAGATCTAGCTTAGGTTTTGAATATCGCTTGTTCAAAGTCATAATACCTTAACCAATAGGACTCAGCTCCATTGCCTAAGTGGGAACCAAGGGTAATGATCAAACCTTATATTATTTTGGACATCTCTTGTATAAACCTAACCAATAACTCACAAAGGAATTGCCAAGCCTCTTGCTGGCTTTTATATGAGATAGTCTATAGCTATTGGGAGAAATGCATCATCTCAGATAAAAAAATTCTTATTTGACCTATATATGTATGTATTAAATAATTAATCCTATTTTATCCTATGTTTTTAATAGCAGTGATAGTTCATTTCCAGTTTAATTAATTGCACACATTTAATTTAATCTAAGAAAACACAAGTCTGCATTATTTATTCACACAATTAAATTATTTCTGGGATTTAGAAAGATATTTGTACTCTGTAAATTTCTAGAATTGTGAAATAATTAAGAGAGTACAGAGGGAATTGAAATGAAAATGGAAAACTACATGCATGACTTTTGATAATTTACTCTCTCTTTTGTAGTTTCAGTGAAAATAATACATTAATATAAGCAAAATCCAAGTAAGAATTCAGGGCCTGAATCAAACACATGCTTATCATATTCATACAGCGAGTTCTCTACATAGAAAATTTTGAGCAAGTTCAGCTTTACATTTCACACCAGTGAAGCTCCATCTACCAGGCCAAACTTTACACAGAATTCACCCCACTAGACCATCACACACATGGCAGGTCGATGTACAACCATTCCCAGAATTCCTGTTCAAGAACAAATGTCTTCCACATAAAAGAAATCCATAAGGTAGGCTTGCCTATTTCAAGTGATGGTCAAAAAATTCAGGTAAACATAATAAAGTTGATATTTTGTTTATCAGGTGACAGAAACACGGACGGGTCCTCTTGGCTGCAGTAACTATGACAACCTAGATTCTGTCAGCTCTGTTCTGGTTCAGAGTCCTGAGAATAAAATTCAGTTGCAAGGTATGTGGGTAAAATTTTATTAATTATTTGTGAGCCTAGATAATATGCAATCCAGTTATAATTTCTTTTATATTTCTGAAAAATAAGTCACTGGTCCATGGAGAGGTGGCCCAATGCACATGGTGCTTTTATAAAGGAACCGAGTAGGGTTCTTACACCTGAGTGTGGACTCTCATCACCCTCTGTAACTACTGATCCAGAGGCTCTGAAGTCATTGTCTTCTTTGGCACATGCAATCTTGTGCATATTACCACACACAGACATACACATTGGCATGTGATTAAAAATAATAATAAATCTTAATAAAGAAAAACATGGTATATATGGTATTTAAAGATATTGACAAGATTAATGTACCAATTTTAAAATATCTTGATGATCTGGATAAAATTAAGAAAATATCAACTAAGTTTTTTCTCCACAAATTAAATAATAATAGTAACTAAATCTTATTTTGAGAGTATTTCTCTTGTAAATACCAATCACTGTTCCAGTAAGAGGAACTGTATATAGGTTTGCACAGTCCATAGCTTTTTCTCATGAGATTTTGTACAATTTGTAAACCTGTTTATTCACATTATAAAACATGCTGGGTAATTTAAATTTAACTTAACACAACAGACAATGCTATCATAGTTTTCTGGCAAGTAAAAAAAAAGTTTTTGGATTTTCATTATTCCAATTCAGACTTATTTTGTGGTTGTATGGATGATTTGTGAGTTTATTCAATAGAATTTTGGAAGATGATTAAAGTCAGGGTGCTTTGCTAAAATCATTGGTAAGTACGTGCATGTGTGATCATAAAAAGACACAAGTGTGTGTAGTCCTTCATTCTTAAAAGCAAAAGACTGAGAAGGGCCTAGATACAAATTAGGGGTGAAGTGAGCTTGCTATTCCTGTGGAAGAATAGGACTTGCTTCCCCAAATCCACATGGCAGCTTAAAACTGCCCAGGACTCCAGTTTTAGGGGATCTAATGAACTCTTCTGACTATGATGTTCTACTTCATTAATATGGTGTTAATACACACATTCAGGCACACACCCACATCCATGAATATTAAATAAATATTGTATAAAAAACAAAAATATTAAAACTTCACTATGACATAAGTATTATTTGAAGTAGCCTTACATGACACTAATGATGAGTTGCACCATCCAAAACAGTAATTATCTGTACAAAGTTCACTTTCGAGTCATTCCATTTTCCTAGAGATTTATAAACTTCATTTTAGAGCTTTATAAGTCAGACCTGTATTTGGTTTCATAGGAAATCATGTAGAAATTGCATCCTATTTTCCAGTTCTGTATATGTGAAGATAAAATATATCCAGAGTAGGTTGTTTAAAGTCTCCTTCCTAAGTGGTTAATAAATAGTGTGTGCTTCATATATTATAAACTATTTCACCCTGTTATGATATTTAAATCTGGTGACATTTATCATTCCATCTTCTTCACTCATCTTGTCCCCTCCTCTCTCTCCTACCTTCCTCCCCTTATACTCCCATTCTCTTCACTGCCTTTTATTCTTGTTGACTGTGTCTTTTGTTTCTCAGTTTCAGAAGGTTCCATTTATTAATTGTCAATCTCAGTGTCTGTGCTACTGGCATTAAGTTCAGGAAGTGGTCCCCTGTGCCAATTCATTCCTGGGTACCTCCCACTTTCTCTTCTAGGAGGTTTAGTGTGGCTGGATTTATGTTGAGGACTTTGATCCCTTTGGACTTAAATTTTGTGCATGGTGTTAGATATGGATCTATCTGCAATCTTCTATATGTCAGCATCCAGTTATACCAATCCCATTTGTTCAAGATACTTTCTTTTTTCCTTTGTATAGGTTTAGGTTATTTGCAAAAGATCAGGTTCCATAGGTGTGTGGTTTAATAACAGGATCTTCAATTCAATTCTATTGTTCTACCTGTCTATTTTTGTGGCAATACCAAACTGTTTTCATTAATATAGTCTATAGGAGAGCTTGAAGTCAGGGATGGTGATGCCTACTGAAGTTCCTGTATTGAACAGGGCTGTTTTGGCTATCCTGGGTCTATTGTTTTTCCATACAAAGTTGTGAATTGTCTTTTCAAGGTCTGTGACGAATTGTGCTGAGTTTTTTTTATAGGAATTGCATTGAATCTGTAAATTGCTTTTGGTAAGATAGCCATTTTTACTATTTTGATCATACCTATCCAAGAGCATGGGTGATCTTTCAATTTTCTGGTATGTTCTATAATTTCTTTTTTAATGACTTAAAGTTCTTGTCATTCACCTGTTTGGATAGAGTTACTCTAAGGTATTTTATGTTGTTTATGGCTATCGTAAAGGATGAAGTTTCTCTGATTTCTTTCTCAGCCTCTTTGTTGTCTACTGTTTGTTTTTTTTTTTCAGTTAATCTTATATCCTGCTACTTTGCTGAAGGTGTTTATCACCTGTAGGAGATCTCTGGTAGAATTCTTCAGGTCACTTATGTAGACTATTATATCATCTGCTAATAGTGAAAATTTTACTTCATCCTTTCTAATTTGTATCCCTTGATCTTCCTTTGTTGTCTTGTTGCTTTAGCAAGAATTTCAGGTACAATATTGAAAAGATATGGAGAGAGTGTACAACCTTGTCTTGTTCTGATTTTACAGGAATCACATTGAGTTTCTCTCCATTTAGTTGGATGTTGGCTGTCAGTTTGCTGTACATTTCCTTTATCATGTTTAGGTATTTCCTATTCTCTCTGATCTCTGCATGACCTTTATCATGAAGGGGTGTTGAATTTTGTCAAAGGATTTTTCAGCATCTAGTGAGATGATCGTGTATTTTTTCTTTTTCAAACTGTTTATATAGTTGATTACATTGATGGATTTTTGTATGTTGAACCATCCCTGCAAACCTGGGATGAAGCTTAATTGATCATGGTGGATGATTTTTCTGGTGTATTCTTGGATTTGATTTGCCAGTATTTTATTGAGTATTTTTGAATCAATGTTCATGAGGGAAATTGGACTATAGTTCTTCATCTTAGTTGTGCCTTTGTATGGTTTGGGTACCAAGGTAATTGTAGCCTCATAAAAAGAGCTTTGCATTGATCCTTCTGCTTCTATTGTGTGGAACAAACTGAGTATTGGTATTATCTCTTCTTTGATTTTCTGATAGAAATCTGAATTTAAAACATCTGGTTCTGGCCTTTTTTTGGTTGGAAGTCTTCTTCTGACTGTTTCTATTTCATTAGTGGTTATAGGTCTGTTAACTTGCTTATCTGTTCTTGATTCCATTTTAGTAAGTGATATCCAAAAAATCATGTTTCCTTTAAAATTTCCAATTTTTTCAAGTACAGGTCTTTTTATAGGTGAGTTAAGACCATTGATATCGAGGGATATTAATGACCATTGGTTGTTGATTCTTGATTGTTTTGGATTCAATTTTTGTAGTGGTATTATTTTTCCCTATTTCTGGCTTTTGTTAAAGTGAGATTATCTATTGCCTATATTTTGTTAGTGTAGCTAATTTCCGTGTGTTGGAGTTTTCCTTCCAGAACTTTCTGTAGGGCTGGATTTTGGATATGTATTGTGTAAATCTGGTTTTGTCATGGAATACCTTTTTTCTCCATCTATGTTGATTGAGAATTTTGCTGGGTATAGTAGTCTTGCCTGGCATCCAAGGTCTCTTAGTGTTTGTAGAATATCTATCTATGACCTTCTGGCTTTCAGAGTTTCCTTTGAGAATTCAGGTGCAATTCTGATATGTTTGCCTTTATATGTTAGTTGGCCTTTTTCCTTCACTGCTTGTAATATTCTTTCTTTATTCCGTATGTTTGGAGTTTTCATTATTATGTGGCAAGTGGACTTTTTTGTTTGGTCTAGTCCATTTGGGGTTTGGCAAGTTTCTTTTGGTTTCCTAGACATGTCCTTCTTAGGTTTGGGTACGTTTTCTTCTATGATTTTTGAATATGTTTACTGTACCTTTTACTTTTTATTTCTTTTAATTTTTATTTTTAAATTTAAATTTGAATTAGAAACAAGGTTGCTTCACATGTCAATGTCAGGTCCCTGTCCTTTTCCCTCTCCTTCTCCCAGGCCCTCCCACCAATGCCCATCTTCTCTTCCCCAATCCCCACTCCTTTCCCCAGGGAGGGTGAGGCCCTCCATGGGGGTGTCCATAGTCTGTCATTTCATCCAGGGCAGGGCCTAGACCCTCCCCCAAGAGTCCAGGGTAAGAGTGCATCTCTCATTTCTGTACCTTTTAGCTGGGCTTCTTCACCTCCTTTATGCCTAGTATTTTTAGTTTTGGTCTTTCCATGGTGTCTCATATTTCCTGGATATTTTGTGTTAAGGATTTGTTGGATTTAAGATTTTCTTTCCTCTAGTTTATCTTCAGAGCCTCAGATTCTCTCTCCCATATCTTGTACTCTGTTGATTATGCTTGAATCTGTAGTTCCTAATCATTTACCCAACTTTTCTCTTTCTAGTACTCTTTCAGTTCTTGTTTTCTTTATTGGTTCTATTTCAATTTTCAAGTCTTGAACTGTTTGAATTCTTTCTTTCATATGTTTCATTGCTTTTTTTTGGCTTTCCTTGCTTTCTTTATGAGATTTGTTCATTTCTTAAATTTTTGGCTTGTTTTTTTCTTCAATTTCTTTAAGGGGTTTTCTCATATCCTCTTTGGAGGCCTGTATTTGTTTTTAAGGTCATTCCCTTCTGTTTCATCTGTGTTGGGATGTTCAGGTTTTGCTGGCATAGAGTTCATAGACTCTGGTGGTGTCATAAGAATCTTTCTTTTGTTGGAGGTGTTCTTATACTGTTGTTGCCTTCCTAGCTCTTCCAGTGATTATAAGTGGGGTCTCTCCCTCTCTTGGTGGGTATGGGTTCAAGGCTCTATCCTGTCCTCTCTATGTACTGTGGACAAAATGATGGCCAATGATTCTGGTGCTTTGTTCTGCCTCCAGGTCTCTCTGGGGGATTCAGTGGCAGGAAGCGTCTTGTCTTTTCTTTTTAATGTGAGATGTAGTTTCTCATAA